ACCCGATGTTAGTGATAATTTTTAATAAAATTTTTGCAACCTTTTCATTGCTAGAGCACACCTGTTTTTAGCTTATCACACAACGAGGTGCTTATTTGAGTGTTCAGTTTGTTTCAGAAAATCTTCACCCAGTCTACAAAAGATTCAGGGTGGTATTTTGGCGAACCGGTTAGTTTAATACTAATATTTTCAGGTTTTTTGTAAGGATGAAAGATATAGATACAGCAGCAACACTTTTAAAATTTTAATTTTTCTACATTTTAATACAGAATTAATACAGTTCTTTTCGTCAGCGAGATGTAATTTTTAGATATGGAGCACTGTTCGCAAGCAAAACTTGAAATCTGCCGTATTTTTTTGGCCTGGAAGCGAAGCTCCAGGTATGAATAATGAATTTCAAAACACTTAATTATTTAAACATAAAACACGTTTTTTTATTTTCAAAATTTATGTAAAGAAGTACTTACTTTGTTAAAAAATATAGCTTTTGTATTTGGTTGTAACAATAATGCTTCTTTTTTTCACTATCGACATCTATTGTGCTATCAGAATGTTTTCTAAAATAAAAACTGATGAGTAAATTATTTTAGAACACTTACCTAGTTACTATGAAAAATACGACAAAAATGTACCATTTGTTCAACGAGCTGATCAGGTGCAGTGAAGAAACTAATAGTTGCTTTTTCTTTTGATGTAATAGGCTACTTACTAACCAATTTTGTAAAAAAACAATAAAACAGAAGTTTTTTGGAATTTTTTTTGCAGGAAAAAAATTGATTTTTTTCGATGTTTATATAAGGTTTACTTTTAGCTAAATAACAAAACAGATCATTTTTTGTAGGTCGTTGAATGGTTGAAACTGCCTGACGGAGAACGACCAACATTGGTGCACATGTACATGGAAGAACCAGATAGCAGTGGACATGTAACCGGTCCTAACACACATCGAGTATTATTGACTTTTTGAATGATTTTCTTTTCACATCAAGTTTTTTACATTTAAGTCTCCAAATCTTGACAAAAATTAAAACAAAATAAAGCTTCTTTAAAATGCTAAGTTTGAAAAATGTTCAAACTTTTTCTTTGAAACAATTAAAAATATGATTTAAGCAATAACCGAACATTTTAGGTAAAAAATGG